TATTGTTGTTGTTGTTGTTGTTAATGTTATTAACATTACAGTCATCATTTCCATGATTATGAATATCAATATATCATCATTATTATATTGGTCTTTCAGTTTTTCAAGATGAGGCCTGTTTACGAAAGGATAAAGGCAGACGCCGTCAACCGAATGCAGACGGGATCGCTCATTGACCAGCAGGTGATGGAGAGTGTGGAGCGACTGCTGCAACGTCTGGGGCACTGAGGGGCACAACAAGGGGAACAACAACAACAACAACAACACCTACAATGTACTACAATGAATGCAACTACAGCAACAATGATGACAACAGCAACAACAATAATAACTTCTACAACTGCAACATCAACAATAGCAACAACAACACCTACAGCGACAGCAACAACGATAACAACAGCAGCAACGACAGCAACGACAATAATAACTTCTACAAAAGCAACATCAGCAATAGCAACAACAACAACACCTACTACAGCGACTGCAACAACGATGACAACAACAACACAACAATAATAACAAGAGCAACAGCAACAACAACAGCAGCAACAATAATGACTACACAACAGCAGCAACGGTAACTTCTACAGCAACACAGGGATGGATGGTATTAGAAGACGCGGATGGCATGGAGCGTTGAATGGATTATTTTTTTGTGATGATGTGTGAGGCAGCGTGGTCAAATCAGGCGCTCGTCAAAATAACGAAATGAGAACACCCGGCATTTTTCCACCAGTTTAGAAATTTTTATGGAATTGTTTTTTTTACTTAACCTTGCTTCACAAAATTTTGAGCGATTTGGATGGATAATAAGAAAGAAATGACTTTTTGATCATTATGTCAATTTTCTTGGCCATCACTCTTGTTTTTTCATGTATGCGAATTTGACAATATTATGCTTTCACGTAAACGGATGTTTTGTCTTCAAACTGTGATCACAAAATGGGCACAAGCTGTACCCCCGTCCAATCCCCCAGGGTTGTAGAAAGTCCCGGGGTGAATGAATGAGGTGAGCACATCAGAGGGATGTTGCCTCGTTCCTCAGCGGGAAAAACTCTTTGATCTATCGTTTATATACAGTCGAACTTGTCTACGGCGACCACAATTACAGTTGCTGATAGTATAAAATGTAAAAAAACCCACTCTTCTCAAAGTTTAGAGGGATTTGGGTGGATAATAAGAAAGAAATTAATTACTTTTTTTCTACTTTTCTGAAACGACGTTACCAGATATACATGAACAGAGTCCGAGTACTCTAGCAATATTCAGCTGTTGGTAAAAAAAATAAAAATTTTTTTTTAGCAACATTGTGTAAAGATAATTCCTATAGAATTCTTTTTTACAATTGTTTTTCTGAGTCAGACTCGTTAAATTTACACGCAACAGCCATGACAAAACTGCTGCTGAGTGTCGGAGGGGAGGTCACCACCGGAATGTTCAGCTCTGAGTCAGAGACCCCCCCCCGAGCATCCACTGTAGTTCTTTTAAAGGTGCTTCGTCTTTCCTTTTACTGTAAAGTATCTACGCAGTCAAACAAACCGTATTGGTTGATTTTTCCTGAAATGACGAAACTTTGGTGAGTGGATTTTGTATTGCAATTTTATTTTTTTTTTACTTGGGTTTTTTAATTCTGCTTAAACTATGATAGATCTAATTATTTTTTTATGAATTTGTGAAACTCATAAAATGTTCCCAGTTGTGTTCCTTCAGCGTCGTCTTTATCAGTCTCACTCGCTCAGTACACGCAGAAGACTCACAGCTGATCTACTTTATGAATTGTCAAAAAAAGACAGGTGTTGTTACAAAAAAAAAAGAAAAAGAAGAAGGAATGCTTGAAATCACAGTCGGTCAGATATGTTGTCTTGTGATATTTCCAAGCTGTTTTCGCTATCTTAATCAATCACTGTTATATGATATATTTGTGTGTTGCACCCCATAGCCAAAATGTCTTAAACACGGATCTTATATTTTTGCTGTATATTCCCCCCCCCCGCCCCCCTACCTCACTGTCCCGCACACGATATACTTATGAATTGAAATCCAGCTTGGAATATTAACTGGGTATGTTTTGTTTTTTCGACAAAGCTCTGATGTTTCCTCTTCTTTTGTATGTTTGTCACTCTCTTGTGACCTGCTATTTCTGGGGTGCCTTGATAGTCGAAGCAGACCTTGTGCTGTTGAAGCTAGAGAGGTGAGCAGTCTAAGTCTGATTCCCTGTAAAGATCTCTGTTGACACCCACCCCTTAGCGCTCATATGACCGTATGCAGTTGCAAGCACCGTAAAACCCTCTACTATATATTTTTTAAAATTCTCTGATGCTGTTTTTACGTTTTCTCTCGGTTTAAGCTACCTCCGGTGGTGTGATGGTTAGGCTCCTTTCAGTATGTTGCATTTGGAATAAGAAAACATGAGTTTGTTTCCTTCATGTGGAAATTTTTGGATCAAATCGTATCTCAGCCTGTGTGCTGGGGTGTTGATGTGTTGATTCCTGAGCGGTTACATTGAATTTGTATTGAATTTTATGTCCAGGTGCAGTTTTCTCACTGTTGGTCGCTATTCTTACCCCCCCTCCCGTTACCTTATAGCTCGTCTGTTAATGTCTGACCTTACCTTACTACCCATTACGCCATCTGGCGTTTAGGGCAGCAACAAAGGATCTCCAGCTCTGTCTGTTATGGGCCATCTTGGTCAACGTCCCCCCTATGTCTGACAATGACCAATAAATCTGCAGAGGAGAATGTTTTTCCGGGGAAGGAGAAGAATTTGAAAAGTTCCCGGTAAAGTAAAGGTGACTTGTGGCTTCTGCTGTGAGTGGTGGATGAGACCAATTCTGACAACAGGGAAACGTTTGCAGCGTTATCCTGTCCCCGTGGTTTTATGCACCCCGCATAATTTAGCAAAATTTGATAATTTTTTGCATAATTTCAGATTATTTTCCTGTATCATTCTTTGTTAAAATTAACAGAATCGCATAATTTCACATTTTTGGGCTCATTTTGCATAATTTCATAATTTTTCTTGCATAAAACGATGGGGACAGGTTATCTATTCCATTTTGGAATACCATCATCTTGAGCGACTTCGAGAAAGTGAAATTGAATGAGACGACTGCAGAAGTTCAAGACTTAGTGGAAAGAGCAGAAGGCTATGGAATCAACCATTGCTCGGAACCGTCAGCATCTACACACTTCGAGATGTACTTCTTCAGGGGACGGAGCGCTTATGGGGATGCCCCTTGTGCAGTGATGTCGGTCCTTCACAAAAACAAACAAAAATTATTCCGTGTTGTTTTGCCTTGTGTCCTGACAGCCAGAGGTACCGTACCTGATGCGCAAAATTTAATCGCCTGTGGACTTAACTGTGGCATCTGTGGTGTAGCAGTTAGACACATCATCACCGCATGTAGGAGACCTTCGAGTTTAATTTTTATGTTGGGAGAATTTTTATCGAGTATCTTGGTCTCTTTGCTGGGATGTTGTATGTATCCCTCTCTGCTTTGATTGGTCGCGACAGGCAGGGTCAAAGCCCACCCTCTAACTCTAAAAGATCTAAATTGTGTGGATAGAGGTATAAAAACTCCTATGTTTTAAAGAGGAATAAATTCAACTATGGCTGATTGATGGATGTGGGGATGCTTGGTTGATGGCGTTTGTTTCCTGTCGTTCTTACGATTCTTTCACAATTTTCTTCACTTGATTGTTGTCTTTTTCTTGATGTGATAAGTTATAGCATTGATCATGACGGCTTTTTCAAAGCTTATACTCTTGTTGTTCTCCTATCCGGTTGTACTCAAAAGTATTGTTAACCCCCCTCTTCACTCAAAGTCTTCAGACTGTCCTATGGTTGTTTTTTTGCAGGTTGTAGATCACATTTCGTTCTAAATGGTTAATTGCTTCTATGATTTTGTATTTGTATCTCTTGTTTTGCCTTTACCCTTGATAATAATTGCTTCAAATTAATGGTTGTGTCTTTACAATGCTTTCCTTTTTTCTACATTGACTCTGTTTTCTGGACCTATGTCTGTATTTTTTCTTTGATCTTTTTCAATGTTCTGTTTTTAGATTGAGGCTCTTTTTTTTCCATTACTCATTTGCCCCTGTCTCCCTTTCTGTTATATATTGGGAAAAGTGGTGTTGTTTTTAATGACGGAGAACGTAAAAAAGTTCACATACATAACTGCACAAATGAAAACAAAATCAACTGCTCAGCATATGTTGTTGTCGATCCAGCAACAGTTCTTGGCGTAAGACTCCATCACATCACTTTTCAAAATGGCTGCCTGTGGTGGATCCTTCCATTAAGTAGTCAGAATGATCTCAAAGTTGTTGTTGTTGTTGTTGTTATCAATCCAGCAACAGCTGGGCTCTCGCCTTCTGTCCAATGCCATGTAGTGATAAGGTTTGCTGCAGTTGCTGTATTGTTTCATAGAACGTGTTGTTGAAGTTAGGTCTCGTAGGGAGAAGGGTAGCTCTGATATCATTTAGGGCTGTGCAGTGGAACAGGTGAATCTCAAAGTAAAATGAAAGTGTCACTCTCAACTTAACTTAGGCTGGTTGGAACAATTTTTGTGAAGGAACGAAATTTAGGATTGTTGAAACACTTCACTTCTATTTAATTTTACATAAATATAGCAAGATGAAGTTACTGATGCTTGCCGAGATTTATTTTAAGTCCACTACATCCTGCCCCCCCCCACCCCCCTGCCGACAAACTACTGTTAAGCTTGGGCTTTAAGGCATGGCTTTTTTTCCCCCAGCTTTAAACCCTGGGGCTTAAAAAGATGTGGCTTATTTGCTGATTTTCCCGATTGCTTGACCGTCTCTCCTTCATTTATTCTTAGCATACACCTAAGACATTAAAAAGTTAACACATTTTCTTCATCACTACTCGTTCTGCTGAACTCTGACACTGACATCTATCTTCCTGATCTGTCTTTCTAATTTTTTTGTGTTTGTTACTCCTCTAAGCTTTGGTACTTCTATGACCTAATTGTGTTGAAAGTGCCGTAAAGCTCTTACTAAAAGTAAAAGACTTTAGTGTGCCAAAGTTTTGCCTCTTGTGATGTCTTCGTGACCCGCGTTGGCTTGTCTTTGGTTGTGAGAGTTGGTGCACGTCATGTTGCCCAGGAAAAAAGTTTGACTGATTCAGCCCGCAGATAATCTTGACTCTGGATGCAAATAATTTGTGACCGCTTCGTGAGTCACATGTAGTCCCTCAAAAAGTTTTTTAAAAAGAAATATATAAATTTGATAAAACCCCTATGTATGGCATATAGTATAGATGTTCAGAGTAAAAATACTATTGTCTATTCTGTGACACCAGAAAAGGGCTTGAAACGTGATTATTAACCAAAAAAAAAAGACTGAAAAGTGATGTGGTGAAGAAAGGGAGAAACATAAATATATGAGACGCTCTGAGGGGCTCTGAAGTGTGTGCGGGGCACAGGGAAAAAAAAGTTTGCACCGAGGAGTGTTCAGGCGTGTCTCAAACCAGCTCCTCATGGAGATGATTAGCTAGAAGACCCTGGGGTGGACTCTGGAAAGGAGAGATGAGCAGCTATGGACATGTGCCGCCTGCTATGATTCTAGCTCGGGATCCAAGTAATTCCTAGCAATTCTGAGTGGCTCCGCGTCAAAGCAAAGCACAGGAGACCGTCAGCCACTGTGAGCAGCCAGCGCTGTGGACTGAATCAGCTAATCAGTAGTTCACAGACCTGATTTAAAAGCGCAGTATGTAGTTGTTTTCAGCTGTTGAGTTATAATTTTTCTTTGTTTTGATTTGATTTGAAAGCAAAAATATTGGTACTTATAAATGATTAATTATTATCCTAAGTTTACGGTAATTTTTCTAGCATTTTTTTTCTATAAATCTACGTTGCTAATATTACTTTTTGTGGTTTTTATTGTGGTGTTGTTGTTTTTTCAAGCTCATTATACTCTTTATCATGTCAATCAATTGCAGGTTTAGGGATTAGAAACTACAACCTATATAATTTTATGTAGGCCTATCCTATACATACATACCTTTTTTATCTCTTTTACTTTGTTTGGGTTGTGGGCATTTCAGGTTTTGGGAGTAGATCCACTTTGCAATGTTCCGTTTATTCCTGAATTTTAAGTCTGACAAGTTGTATACATTTTGTTTTGAAGCTTTTCCTTTTTTAAAATTTTATTGTCGTTTCTTTTGTATGATGTACAAAGCAAGAAATTTGTTTTTCAAAAATTGTATTTATTGTCATTAACGCATGCAGGTGTACTGTTTTACAAAAATGTTGCATTCCTTTGAATAATGCTCCATATTAAATTTGTCTGGTGTTCTTTTAAAACATCACCTTTCTGTCTGTCTTGATCTCGGACTCTCTGTTAGCTCAGTTGGTTTTATGCTGAACTACGGAGTGGATGGCTCTGGTTCGAATACATGTACCAGACTGGGTGGGGGTTTTTTCAGCTTCTGAAAAAATCTTTCTCTGTATCCTCAAGTTGAACACTTGGCGCAATAGTGCAATTTTGAAAATTATCCGTTCCTGTCACCTGTGCCAGGCCCGAAACGTTTGTTGCAGTCACTCTCCTGGCTGGGTGACCAGATGGGGTATTTTCAAATTTTTTTACCACATGTATTTTGTACTGCTGGCTGTGTGACTGCAAAGTGTTAGGTAGTGTACCCTTTGTACACAGACGTGGCAGAATGTGGCTCCCCTTGAGAGAAAGCTCTATGGCAGTCTCTCAGAGTTGAAGCGAACTGCATGCACAGTTTGTGCGCGACGTCGAGACTGACCGTCTAGCTGCTGTCATCGAGAACGAGGAAGAAGAAGAAGAAAGTAATGTACGTGACACCTGATTCCG